TTCCTTACGTTGACCTTAGTGTTCGCAGAGTGTGCTTGTTACACATCCTTAAAGTTCCAACCCCTGCTCAGGTTCCTCTTATTAAATACGCTGTCACAGATGTGCAACCATCACGGCTAACTGGCTCAGCCTTGGCCAGAGGTGGGTCCGACTTGGTGCCAGGGGAGCTTTTGAGAAGCTTCTTACAGGGGTCTCCACTGTAGACCCTTCTCCCACTACCAGAAACCCACCACAAACCCAGCACAAGCTTGCACCTTGGTAGTGTAAGGGAAGGAATGTTGTTTTTGCATATTCAGCCTGATGGAAATGGCAGGAGCGATTAACGCGAACTGTTCACAGCCATTGAAATCCCTGACCTGGGGCTAGAAGACAGGTAATGCTTTTGTCAACTGTGATGACCAGTACTTGGAAATGGCTTTAGATGGACGCAGATACCGAGGGACTCGGGAACCTGAATTTTGAACTTTTTCTGTCTTAGTACGCTTTGCGTGATGAGCTCTTGCATATTAACTTCTCCGCCCTGGAGAAAGCCAAGGTTCATTTCCATGGACATGCGAGGTGTGAACACATACATGAAGGGGCGTATCGGTAGGCGGTTCGGGAAGTCTGTACACCCTGTAGTACTCAGCCGGTGAGGACTCAGGGGAGGGAACTCGCGGTCGGGAGAAGGGGTGTAAACCATTGCACGGTGGCTGTTAGGTGCGTCCACCTGGGGGGGGCGCCCGGTCCTGCAAGAAGGTAATAAAGAGTGCTCCACCCCGCACCCTGTCTGAGCCCTTGGTAACTGGCAACTGAGCGTTTCTCACAGTAGGTTTCTTGTGTAACAAATCTAACAATTACTCTGGGTTTAAAAGGAAAGAAATTCTGAACAACTTGAAAAGTACAAAAAAGCTGATTCCCTCAGGCCCATAGGCTTACATTGCTATGATAGTACCTCCCTTCTTTGATACTGCTAGTGTATTTTTTTTCTTACAAAAAGGACAGTAGAATAAATAATGTGGATTTAGGCATAAAATATGCCATTACATATTTGTGTAAACCTGTGTCAGGAATTGCTGGGCATCCAATCCAAATATAAGACTCAAATTCTTTGTGATTCTGGAAAACTATGCTCCTGTTCTAGTAGACCAGAAATATCTCTCATTTAAAGTATGATTACTGATAGGGATAAGCGTTTGGATTGAATTAAGAGTTTTAAGATTATACTAGTGCTACTATTTAGAAACAGATTCTGTGAACATGATGTAAATAGTAGCTAACAAATGGAGGGGGGGGTGTTTATGGGGTTTTTTTGTTTGGACTTGGTTTTGGAGGGGTGTTGTTTTGGTTTTTTTAAAAAATGCTCAATTAATAGCTTCAAATGTCAGTTTTGGAATAATTGTAAGGAGTAGTTTCTGATTAACCATGGTCTTCTCATGACGTTGAGGATTGGAGCACCGGAGTTGCACAATTATAGAAACTTTTACCTAATGACACTCATCAAATATGTCGGTTAACTTCAGCAATTGGAAGTCAGGAGTTACCGCTTAATTGAAGTGGAAAGTGATGTAGAAGTCGATGTGCAGTCAATTGATGGAATGTAACCAGATAGTCCCTGGCATGTGGCTGAGGGTAAATGACTTCTTGGGTGTCTCAGAGTTGCTCTGCAGGTGTGCATACATTCTCGGCACAAGAATTATGGTCTACTCAAGTCAGCTGCTTAGCCACCTTCAATTTTCTGTCATGCTGAAATCATCCTTTCAAACCTTAAAAGTCGAGATGATCTTGGTTTGATGGCAAGCACTCCAGACAAGTACCACAAGAGATTTGAGGTCTGGACACTTGAATGAATGCTTGATGAATGTTTTTAAGGGGGAAGAAAACAGCAAATAAAACACAGTTGCTTAGAAATATAAAATTCTCAGTCTGTATAGAAAACACTTCTCTCTGATAGAATAACAAGGATGACTGAGCTGCTTAAAATAGTTAAGGCATTTCAGAATAAATGATGAGAGGTTGCTTACCTTGTTGAGGGTGTTTCTTGACCCTCTTAGTCTTCAGTCTTTAACTTCTGAGATTAGTAGTAATTGCAGCTTTAATGTTTCCTTTCAGGTTAGTGTACTGTAAATCACTGTAATTGTATGTCCATTACTTGTATGAATATAGTTTCTGTTGAGGCTTCAGATTTTGTGGAGTATATATTCATAACAGTATCCCCAAGTCAAATTGTCTTGTTACGCTTCAGGTTGAACCACTTTCCATTTCACAGTTAATTGGGGAAAGGCAACCACTCCAACCACTTTGTACATCCTAGACTTTTTACATTTAGGTCATAAATTTAACTGGCTTTCAGGATGCAAACTAATTGATTAAATACTCTTTTTTTTCCAGAAGTTATTCATTGCTATAGTTTTTAATCCAAATAGACAAAAGTGTGTGTATTCAGATACAGAATTTTTGTGGCTTAAAGTATCTTCAGTTTGTTCAAAACATTGGACAGGAATTTTGGTTTATTTGTCAGAAAGTTGTTCTATTTGGGGGACCTCTGTCATTTAGCACCCTCTTTTTCATTCTTGAAGTCTTTGCTATACCAGGTGTCTTGATGACACTGAAGTCTGTAACTCATGGTTTCTTTCATGTACATTTTTATTCTCTATGTTCTTCAGGGCTATTGCTTTACATTTTTTTTCAGGAATTAATCTTCAGAGCAATTCAGTATACATCGAAAAAAAATGCCAGCTGTTTTAAACCAAATATGTCCTCCAGGTTTATTATAACAAAAATACTTTTGAAAACAACTTCTCTTGGGGAGGGAGGAGCTACTCCAGCTTTTGTTACCTTTAGAAGTTGTCAGGTACTTAAAGGAGAGCAACTCATTGTATTTCATCAGCTGGACTGTAGATATGTCGGACATTCAGTTTATTAGGTTGTACATGTACGTGTTAGGCTGTGTGGTTCAGTAGTACCACTTGAAATACTTTGTTTGAAGGTAGCTTTTGCTGTTTGTGTTCAAGGAAAGTTTAACATTTTATGATCCTCTAAGGAAAAAGAAAAGTCATCAACTGGAAGAAGAAACTTCAGAATTATTTACAAAGGCAGTCTAGTCTTGCTTTGGTTTTTAACATGCTATTAATGTCTTAGCAGTTCATACCTTAATAATAAAAAAGTAATTATGCAGAAAAATAATGTGTTACAGTGTTAATTTACACAGATTATCTGTGGTATGTTCACATTTGTTGTTTTAAGCTTAGTGCTGTAGTCATGTGGCTATTTTAACTGTTTGACGTGAATTTTTGCTGCTGTCAAAATACGGTACTACTTTCTTTACCTCTGGCCAGTTACCTTAGTATTTCCGAAATACTGAAAGTTTAAGGTTCCTTTCCTGAAAGTTTTTGCTGTGTATAATGATCTGTAATTTCACATGCATTAGCCATCTTAACTCCTCATGGGATTACTTAAGTGAAAAATAAAGCACATGCAGAATTGTCTTGCCTTGAGGCTAAAGCTCACTAGAATTTAAAAGGCATAACTTCTGTAACTGTTGAAATGTTAGCAATAGGAGGTATTTTAATTTGTTGACATATACATGTTTCTAAAGATCTGTCTAGTGTTAGTTCTTTCTTAACAGTAACCTAAACTTAAACTTCTACATCTCTATCTGGACCCAGTGATTTAGGCTTGCTTTAGTTGCAAAATATAATTGATGGTTTTATGTCAATATGAGTATATTTTTAATTTTTTTACAGTTCTTTGTAAGTAGTGCTGGCTTACTTACTGATTCTGTGTATCAAGTTTGAACTGTGCATACTAATTTTGCTTTACATGCAAGTGCTAAATAATTCATTACAAAGGATAAGCAGGGAGGATTAAGGTGTAAAGCACAGGAAGTAAAAATTGGGAGGTAAAAATTTAACGGTTTTTTATAACCTAAGTATCCTTGTCAAACAATAAAAATACCACTGCACAGAGGACTGTATAAGGCAAGGTGACCTTTGTCTCAAATACAGTGATACAGACAATGAATTATTGTGTGTTACCAAACAAATGCAAATATTCTTGTTTGTTATTGAAGATGAGGGAGTCTGGTCTCAGGATATCTGAAGCCTGTGAAATACTTTTAATAGGTATCACAGAAGAGAGACATCAAAATAGTTTATTATCAGCTGCATCTGAGTGATGATTAAACAATGAATAAATATCAGATGAGGTATTTACTCAATTTGTTTTAAAATTTACTGTTAATTTTTGTCATATATTAAACCTGGTGATTAAGTATGGCCTTTTCTAGAAGGCCAGTGTAATTTAATTTTGCAGCAGTGGCCAGAGTTAACCAGACAGACTCCTCTTACAATGCTTGAATAGATTGATAATGCAAGTCTTAACTCTTGTACATGTGAAACAAACTTGGAAAATAGTGTTACAAATTGACCAAATAGTTGAAAATCCCAAGTGTGTTGCTCAGGTTTCTTTAAACATTTCTTGTGTTAATGAAGTATAAAAAAATATTGAGTACTTGTTCTGTGCTTTGATGTGGTTACTGCAGCCTGTTGTGTCATAGGAGGTACTTGATATAAAAATTAACTCTTTGAGATAGCAGCTCTCAGGTTTAAAAAGTGGCTCTGGGTTAAATGTAATGCAGAAACTGAAGATCTACCCATTTATCTCTAATATTAAAACCAGAGTATTTCTATAAATTAGGCAAAATATTCTTTATACGAACTGAGCTGTTTGGGGAATTCCTTGAGGCATTTTTTTAAAGGATGTATTTTTTCCATGTAGTAGCTATTTCTGGTGAAGGCAAGTATGCATCACTGTTGCAATTTTGTTAAATGCTGTCATGTACAGTGTGTTTTACTGGGGTTCATACTCTGTATCATTATATTACTGAAAGTCATTTGAAGATTCAGAAAGCTTGCTTGTAGTCTTAAACTCTGCTATGCCAGTGTTTCAGGAAGTAAAAATGGGGAGAAGAGTAAAGTCCACTACAATGTAATTTATAACCAATTATTTTCACTTTTCAGATGTTCCTCCTGCTGATCAAGAAAAGCTTTTTATCCAGAAGTTACGACAGTGTTGTGTACTTTTTGACTTTGTTTCTGATCCACTAAGTGACCTAAAGTGGAAGGAAGTTAAACGAGCAGCTTTAAGTGAAATGGTAGAATATATCACACACAATCGCAATGTGATTACAGAACCTATTTACCCTGAAGTAGTACATATGGTAAGTGATTTAACAATGAGAACTTTTTTTTTAATTCACTACTGATTCTTCAGCTGTTTCAATTTGTCTTAAGAAATCTTCAGAAAATATGTTTGCACATCTGCAAAATAATACAACAGTGCTTTTAAATCCCGTTGATTCCTCTTCTTTGTAAGATAGAAACTAGACACATGAAGCAGAAGTAAATTATTGTATAAATTGGTAAAAATGAAGTCTTGTTTTAAAAAAAAAAAAAAAAAAGTTGCTTTTTTTCCCCACACATCTTTTTTTGGAATAGGTGTTTATAAAAATAGAGAGGAAAGTTAAAGACATCTAGTTGTTTAAAAAAAAAAAAAAGTAGATTTGAAAAAAAAAAAAGCTATTAGAATTAAGATAATTAAGATCACCTGTGCAACGTTGACTCTAAACTTTACATAATCCCATTCAGTACCAGCAATTGATTTTATTCTGTATTCAGTGGTGACAATGAGAGTCAAGAGTTATTTAGTACACAGGATGGCAAATGAGGGGTCTGCTGGAACAAGCTATGTGAACCATTCAGACATGCATCATTTCTCCCTTCTCACTACCTAAATCCTAGCCAGGTAGACCTGGTTTATTTCTCTGTGGTGCTTAAGTCCTCCCCAGAGGAGGAGGTGGCCATGAAATTACAGGAGAGTGTTTCAGTGTTCATTGTGGTGACTAGCCAGCAGTTGCCTGGAGTAGCAGTGGGGTTGAGGTCTGTAGCTGTTCTCTGCAGTACACTGAGAACAGAAAACATCTTGTGAATTCCTGACTACTAAGCCTACAAGAAACTCTGGACCGTGTGTGACACAATGTTTTTTCCCAAGGCTTTATAGCTTGGGGTGAATTTCCAGGGGGATAAGTGCATCTTTAACATAAATACGAACTTTAGAGTTTGAGGTCCTCCTACAAATCAGAGACTTTGAAGCTTCTTCAAAGATTTTAAGGATTTATAGCATGAAAGATGTAGCTTATTCTGAAGATCACTTGTTATCTAAATCAACTGTGTTTACTGATACAGAAGTTATTTTCATGAGAACTTTCGAGTACATGAGGATTATGTATAACTCTAGATGTCAAACATGAACAAAAAAGCATTGAGGATAGTTAATGAGGAGATGCAGGATCATGGCTTTTCCCATGTCTTGATAGCTTATTTATATCTGTTTTTTTCTAATTGATTGCTTGTTTTGGAATACTTGACACTGATGAAGAGGGAGTTATGAAAGAGAATAAGCCTGCTGAGGCTTCATTTAGGTAAAGTGGAGTTCATGATGAGTTCTTGAATATGTGTCAGACGTTAGTGTTCTATGTAAGACGTCTTAACTGCCTGTAACTTTTGCCTTATTTGACTGAGGAGAATATATACTTTCTTTGGTTTCAGGTGCAACTAATGGTAATAAAGTCTACACTTCAGTCAGTAGTAAATCTTGGTGTAGAGTTTGGCTGTTGTCTTAATTACCAGTGTTTTGCTGGGAGCACACAGCATCTGTTTGAAAATTCTTTCAGTGAATTTAAAATGCTTTTTAAGTGTAAGGTTCTAAAGGGTGAGGGGTTTCCTTGCATGGGACTTACACAGCACTGTGACAAGACACTGTCAGTGAAGACACCTGGACTAGTATTTTGCGGTTAAACTCAAGATAGCAATTCTTTTAGGCTGCTTTTAGAAAATAGTTTTCTTTTGGTCATCTGTTCCAAAACAACTGTATTCCACCTGCAGTAGTAGTATCAGCTTCTTTCTTTCAGGCATGTACGTGTAGATTGAGGTGTACTTTTGTTAAGTTCTAGCAGTAGATTTGAGTTAATTGTGTGAATTTTAAGGGGGGAAAAAAATCTAATGTTTTTGTGTACTTTAAGACTTTTTCAGGAGACATTGATAAGTTGTGTGCTGTTACTGCCACTGAATTATATTAATAAGAAAAAGTGTTTTCAGCAGAATTATGAGAGTGATCAAGAAATGCTTGGATTTGATAGCAAATCTTGGTTTGAAAGTTTGTGGAGTTGGTAGTTGGCATGGGAATGAGGACTTCACTGTGCTGTTCTGTTCATCTTCACGATTTGGAGGTTATTTATGTATGTGCATATAGAGATATACATGCATATATATATATATATATGTGTGTGTGTGTGTGTCTAATTTTTGTTTAGTTTTGTTAACATTATTTAGGCCAAACACTTAGTGCAATGAATTTCACAAGTTACTGTTTAATAGTATGTTTCCTTTTCAATAGCTTCAAATCTTCTTTCTTTCTGACATGAGAAGCATCTACCTTATCATCTGGTTCTTCTTTATTCTTTATATTCTAGTGCTCATGCCATGTCCATCCACCCCACCTTTACACCACTTTTTTGCTTCAAGTGTCCTAATTTATAGTAAGGTCTTGTCTTTAAGCTACATATTCACCGAGTGGATTAGTTCAGTTATTTAATGTCAAACATAATTTTCAAAAGATGTGAGAGAAATTAGTTTCTAAAATGGATTTAATGTTATTCTTCAGAGTGGGTATAAGAATTTCTTCCCTTCCTTCCTCAAAGAGACAGCTGACTTGTCCTTCAAATTCTTTTTACATTTCTAAGCAAAGATGTGATGAGAAAGGACATGTTTTTATAAACGCTTGTCTAGCAAGTTCCATTTCTCAGGTATAATATAGTAAGGTTGGATGGATTAGCCGTCTGATTAAATCTTGTAAATGCAAATGATAAATTATTTTTTCAACAGAAGTGTCACAGATTCTTATTTAGATTTTTTTTTTTTTTTTTTTTTTTTTTTTTTTAGCTCGGCTTTTGAAGAAAACAGGGCTTTATGAGAATGTTCTGTTGTGCACCAGTTTCAGAAGCACAGACACTTAGGATATTGCGTTTGTAAAACTTCATAAAGAGTTGCTAGCTATGCAGAATACAAACCGGAATTAATGCTGCTTTCCACCTTGGGGAAGGATGGGCAATATCTGGATTGTATCTGTTTTAAGAGGTACTATGAAAGTGAATGTCAATATGAATATTCACTTCCACAGCTAGCCAGCCAGAGGGTATTGAGGAGAGCTGTGAGGAGGCTAGGGCAGTACTAGATGTGGAGGTCCGAGGTTGTAGTGTTCTGAGAAAGAAACAGATCAAAAGCATGTATATACAGCTTATTTCTGTAGCTCCCAGAAAAATTTCTTGTGGATGGTAAATTAACGTTTTTGTGAAGCACATAGGCTAATACTACTTTTTAAAATTGATAATATATAGGAACAGATCTAATCTTATTCAGCAACTGAAGCAGTTTTCACTCCAACTTTTCATGCATTATGAAAGTAAATTACATAGTTATACCCATGATGAGGCTGATATTTTTTGTTTGTTTGGGGGTTTTGTCAGCTGTGGTTTTTTGTTTTGTTTTTTACTCCGATTATTGGTCTAGAATAAGAGAAGTTACTGTGAATAGAAGTGTACTACTTGTGGCGCTATTTATCTATTAGGATGGCTTTATTCACATGAATATAGAAAGCGCAGACTTTCAGATTATACAGCTTGTCATTCAGAGCTGTTCATGTCAGGCCTCACTGAGGCTGCTCAGCAGAAGGGAGGAGAAAATATGTAATGATATCTCTGATGCTTACTTGCTTGAAAATATTCTCTAGTGTTACACAAAATGGATCACCAGAAAAATAAGAGTGCGTAACTACCATTGCAGCAAACATATCTGTGAAGCGGTAAAAATGCAAGTGGTTGGCTTTTCCTTTTTTGTTCTCTCATCCTCCAAAGTTATGTCTTTTAGGGTCAAGTATTGTCAGTGCTGACAGCACAGAGAGTTTTGGCACACTAGCCCAGTTTTCACAAAGACTTACATTTCATAGATTTGTAGGGGCCTGTGGGGTTTTGTT